GCAGGCGGGAGTGCAAGGAAGCCCCGCGAAGGCCCTCCCTGGCCCCAGGCAGGCAGGGGTGGGGAGAGGCAGGGAGGAAGCAACTTACCCTCCCTCTTCTCCTGCCTCCTCCTGGCTGAATGAGGGCCGGAAGCAGGGGGCGGGGCTTCGTCATGTGCCCCGCCCCCCGTACCTCACCCGGGGTAACTGTGTTCCCCCACGTTCCCCCCCGAAATGACCTCTGCTTAGGCCACAGTTTGAAGAATGCTTACCTGGGAATAAAATGAAACTTACTTCTGCGTAAACACCCACCAAACAGTACTGCAAGTTGCTCACACCTGTGCAGAAGCAAAAACCCTTGGAAAGTTTATGGACCAGCTGAGATGCCAAAAGGAAGGACACTGTAAAAGTCTTGCTTGTTGATACTGGGTTAGAGTTTGACAGGGCTGTTTCTTTTATGTTCAGTGTTATGTTCTGCAAGTTTGAGAGTGGGTAGACGACACACTCTTAAGAAGAAATCAGTGCTGTGAGGATGTATGACTGGGAACAGAGGCAGGAAGGTTTGCTGCCATTGTGTCCAGAGTGGGGACAAGCATGAAGGGGAGGAAGATAAGAATGACACAGAAACACTGGATTGGGGAAAATCAGGCCAAAGGCTGGGGGAAATGAATGCAGCTGATACCCCAACTGCTGACCACAAATTCCCCAACTCTCCTGTTGAGGGTAACCAAGGAGACAGTGGGTGAAACTGACAGCTTGACTACCAAAGGTTAAAGTTTCCATCCCCCCCCCTTGGGGTAACCAAGGAAAGAGAGCTAGTCTTAGGACCGGATGCAATAGAAGTCACTGTTCCTGCCCACTAACATTCCAGACCAAAAGGTGGCTGTCATGCCCCACACCCCCTCCCCATGTATAGCTGGCTGATGTATAGCTGGCTAAAGCGGGAAGGCCACAGAAAGTATCATGAAAAGCTGCCTGGCTCAGCAAGGCGAAGCACAGTTGCCCAAAAGCTCATGCCCCCTCCACCTGAAAAATAATTGCTCCAGCTAAAGGTCATAAGTAGGCCTTCACCTGTGGTTACATTGCTAGAGAACTGTATCCCCTCTCAAACAATACAGTGAGTAAACAGTGAGTAAACAAATGCAGGGGTCATTTGGGGGGGGACGCGGGGGGACGCCATCCCCCCGGGTGAGGTGCGGGAGGGCGGGGCCTGGAGCTCCCTGCTGGTGCCCGCTGGAGGTCGCCGCCGGCTGTGGGGAGGACACACTTCCGGTGATGTCAGGGGGTGTGGCATATGCTAATGAGTTATGCTAATGAGTCCCCCTAGCTCTTTTTCTACGAAATGACCCCTGAACAAATGTGTTCCTCATCACCAGTAATATCATAGACATCTTCCAACACATTGCCCAGCAATCCAACTGGGAAGGGGGCTACTTAACATAGCCTCACCTCTATGTCTCAGAAAAGCTTTGAGAGTCTTCTTTGCCCCTCTCTCTTTCTGACACCCATACACCACTAACCAAGCCACTCACATTTCCTATTCCACTGTCTTCATTCACCACTTCTTCAAGTGGCAACAAGGTACTGTGGCAGCACTTGCTGTGTTCATTCCCTTTGGAGGAGAGAGTGCTGGCATTTTAGGGCATTTATAAAGTAGTTGCTTTATTTACAGGTATACAAGTGCAAAACAGGTGGAGGCACAGTCACAGATTAGGACATCTGATCCCTAGGATCTAACTGAAGAAGACAAAGAAGACGACAATGAAGAAGGCGACAAAGAAGACGAGTTGCATTTATACCCCGCCCTTCACTTACAGTCTCAGAGCTGCTTACAATCACCTTCCCTTCCTCTCAGACACCCAGTGAGGTAGGTGGGGCTGAGAGAACGGTGACTGACCCAAGGTCACCCAAGATCAGATCACAATATCTGCCTTCCGTGCCCAGTCGTCAGCACCCCATGTTGCCCCGCTTTGGAAGAAGAGTAATCAGGCACCTAGGAAAGTCCGGTATTAAGGGATGCCAGCACTTCCACCCTGCATTTCCTGATGTCTGAACCCCCCTGTTGTTAAGTCAAGCCATTTGGGAAGTCAGAACCTTCGCTTCCATTTCCACCTCCTTTGTTTGTTTGTTTGTTTGGTTTTTTTTGGGGGGGAATCAGGTAGCTATGTGTGCATAAGGGCACAATTGCCCCTGGCATTGTCAATCACCGTGGCTAAGTAATCATTCTAGATCGAAAGTCCCCGGGGGAGTTCTTTTCAAGCCATAAATCCCCCCCAAACCCCTCTCTCCTGTTTCTGTGTCAAGTCTGAGAGCATCCTATGACTGACACAAGGGTAAATGCACTGACATCAATGGGACTACTCGCATGTGAATCTGCACTCCCCCCCCCAATGTATCCCACAGAAGAGAGGCCAAGGGATGGAAGCTGAGAGGGGCCGCAATACTTGGCAGAGAGATTGTGGAGCTGTCAAAAAGGAGCTCTTCACCTCCCACTTCTCTGAAATTGCTGCACTAAAAAAGAAAAGAAAAAAAAGGAGCTGGAGCTTCTGATACACGCTTATGCGCATGGGTGAAAGACAAAACCCCCCAAAAGAATGCCGCAACAATCTGTATGATCGACTATGGGGCGAGTGCACAGTTTAGCGGGTTCAGGTTGGGATGTCTGATCAAACTCTCTGCAACTATTTAAACCGCCACAAATAGAGGCACAGCCAGATCATGCAAAGCCTCCAGTGTGACCGCAACCCTATTCTCTAACCCTGCCCTGCCAAGATCTGCCTGCACAATGCAGGCTGTTGAAACGTCATATATTCCGATCCTACGTTCATCTACGTTTATATATATATATATATAAGTACCCAATATATATATAAGTACCCAAGGGTACATTTTTATTGATTTTTTCCCTATTATAAACTACAAACATACATAACAACAGACAAACACCTACCTACAACTAAGAAACACAAAACATATAGTGAGAGGCTTGTATTTCATATTCTATCTTCGATTAACTATTTGTTAATTTTCTATCCCCTTATCTTACTGGCTTTCCCTTTTCTGTGTTCTCAAATTTCCACAAATCAAGTTAGTACGCTTATATTATACCAGTCATAAAATCTCTTCCAAGTGTTCTGAAAAGTCCATTCAGTTCCAGCTCTCATCTCTAATGTCAGTTTATCATTCTCAGCTGTTTCAGTTTCTTCACAAATTCTTGCTTCGTTGGATCCATTGTTATCCAGTATTTAGCATATAAAATTCTTGCAGCTGTCGATAAGTTAACAATCAAATACCTGTCTGTTTTATCAAAGTCTTTCGGAAATATATTCAGTAACAGTGTCTCTGGAGTAAGAGGAACATTAGATCTTATTATTTTTTGCATTATTCCATGTACCCATTTCCAGAATCTTTTTGTTATATCACATAACCACCACATATGATAAAAAGAACCAATCTTATTCTTACATTTCCAACATTTGTCTGAACAATTAACATT